AAACTGGTCGATTGATTTGAGTACATTGAAATCAAAGTGTCATGTAGTTCCGTTTTATAGGTCATACTCGTAGGCTTAAAATAGGCCAATGCCCTATGCAGAGCTGCCAACTAGTACGGATTTTCCGTAATTGGTACGGAAATTAACGACCATTACGGAATGTTGTCTCAAATTACGGATTTAAAAAAAAAAAAAAAAAAAAAGATTTTTTTTTTTTTTTTTTTTTTTTTTTTTTATGAATTAAATATGATTTATCGTAGCGAGTGCTGTGAATAGGAGCCATTTTTCATGATAAACTGTGTTGTGATGACCTGAAATTCAATACTTAACATCTTTGTGTGAGTAAAATCACCAAAAATTTCAGATAATCATGCGTCCGCGCAGTGTTGGCGTGTCGTTTTTTTAGATTCATAGCGCCGCATAAGAAATTACTGATTTATACCCCAAATTACTGATTTTGAGCCTTGTGATTACTGATTTTCTGTTCTGGAGGTTGGCAGCTCTGCCTATGAAGTCCAAGACTTGTGGTAGGAAATCGGCAATCGTATGGAATTGTATTTATTATTTGATGTGATTTAGAATAGTTCTGAAAAGTACAATGTTTGTTTTTTGAAGTTGATGATTATGGCTTGCCAAATAGAATAGAAAGCTACATTTCTAAATGAAAAAGATATATTTTTCTTTCAAATTTACCATGTATTTGAATAGGAGGTTTGTTTGATAGTATTTGAAAGTGGATAATTATGGATTGCCAACTTGAAGAAAACTACTGAATCCAAAAGAGACAAATTTCTTTTTCTTTTTTGAAAAGAATAATTGTGCTCTAAACATTCCAATATTTGTTTTGAGTAGGTTTGTTTCACTGCAGTATTTTGACCCCTACCGGTATATTTATACTTGAATGTGATATACGTTGAAAGATCATCGTAAAAATCAGCTTCTATGTTGCTATGCAATTTCTCATGAACCATATCATTGTTATTTGTATAGCACCGGTATATATATTTTACTACTTCCCAAATCAAGCAAGGGTCTGAAAGAGCAGACTAGAGGGTCTGAATTCCATTCTATTGTTGCAGTGCCTTTCTTGTAGAGTGACCCATCCCAAACAACAGGCATTGGCAGACCACAAGGGGGGATCAATAGGGGTGCACATTCAAATCAGACAGGGGGGCTAATTACGCACCCATACTACCGGTGGAGTGTACTCAAGCCCAAAGGGGGTGGTTTTTGCACCCCTCTGAAGCTTCCTGTTGACCCAGGTGGACTGGAAACGTACATTGGATTGTATCTTGTGTCTGGAATCATTTTGGAACAATATCTGACTATATTTCATATGAACATTCAGGAATAACCAATGGGTATGTATAGACATGTAGAGTAGAAGTTTGAACTTTTGTGACCGATTCAATTGTTCTTGTACACACACGTGTGCGTGGTCAATGTGTATAATACCACTGCAGTGTACAATGCATGTACCGGTATACAGAGGAGAGATGTGAAACACACTTGTGTGTAAATAGAGTTGTAGAACTTGTGGTCCTTCAAACTTTCTTTGTGTTGGAAGCTGGAACTTTGAAACTTGGCCAAGTTATGGTCTACCAGTTCACACTACATTTGTATAAACCTAGCGCTGGATCACACCTCTCTGGAGGAATATATTTCAAGTTCATAGGCGCTAATATCATAACATTCAAAAGGTATGTTTATATTTATAGTATTTATTGTATATGTGAGACGACACAAACTTTGCACCTTGGCACCTTCATTGGGATACACATGACATGATTGACATCCGGGTATATGTTCCAAGGATCTGCGATTGTGATTACTGCAACAAGTAACAAGTAACAAGCAAGGGGGTAGGGGCTGTAACTGAATCTGTAAGACTAATTATGTTACAGGTCTAAGCTCTGAGTGTTCGTTCAGTTTCAGCAATAGTTAGGGCTGCAATCAGATTTTTCATAACAGAATCCTGCACATGTTTATATATTACCACCCATTATACTGGAAGTCCTTGATTGTTCAGCGAATAGATAAGAAGTGTGAGATTAGTTGAACAATATGTGGGCCAACAGCATGGATAAAGACTCATGTTTCAGTGAGCAAGTGACTCTAAATAATAGGGCAGTGTAACCTACATGCATTAGTGTACATAGTAGATTTCAGCTAAATTGTTATTGACACTGTGTGTTAGTCATAGGTTAGGGTGGCACTTTTATCAGTTTAAATGTGACGGATAAAACTTGTTAAACTTGTTTAAGTTTATCATTTGCGGGACCAATAAGAATCATGTGCACCACCCACTCTTAGCCCACACCCTATGTGAGACTGAGCAGAACGTTTACTGCTGCACTGGTTTAAAGCCCCAGTGTACTACTTGTAGCTACATGTACTTGCTCCCTCTATATAGAAAACTTCCCCAATCGGTGCCTGTTGGTCCCCCATGATCCTCTTTTTCTTATGTTAATTGAGAGCTGAGTTGTTGAGATAGCAACCTGTCAGAGACCTCCCTGGGTCGTCTAATCCCTTCTGGCCGAACTAGTACAGATGTCCTTTAAAAGAAACTTGAAATCTGTGTGCAACTTTAGTAAGCAGGAGACTATTGGACTACCATATATGCAGAATGTTTACTGCTTCCCTAGTTTAAGAGAAACTCTAAACTCTATGTAACTTTGTTAGCAGGGGTAAATTTACTTACCGGTACGTTTCCCAGGTAACCTGAGTCTGGTACTCTTCAGCTATTACTCTGCTACAAATTTGGGAGTTTCGAAGTAGAAAATGAAGCATTTAAATGATTATTTTCTTTGTTATCAAATGAGATATGCATGCAAATACACATGTAACATATTGCAGGAATTCTAACCGGTACAGCTACATAGTACATGTATTCAAGAGTACAAGCTTTATTGAATAAGCTTGTGCTGGTGCAACTTGTATGGTAAGTTGTTACTGTACTAGTTAGTGCTTTGACATGTTCTTATAACAGTGTCTGTACATGGAAGATTACTTCATGGATCCCGCTCCCTTAGAAAATTAATGATATTTACTGAATAAAGTAATTGAAATGTAGTATAAAGTAACCATTTCTTGCTTAACCATTGTCAACCTCTCCTAATACATGTACGTGTAGGTATGTATGTATAGCTCAAGTTCCACTGTTATTGTTTCCAAAAGTGTCAACATAGAGTCTGTGCATGGTAGACTAGTCCAAAGACCAAGGATTACTGGTCTGGGGCATTAGGAATGTCTAGCAAGTCAGTCAGTCAGTCTGCCTTGCATGCCTGCCTGCCTAGTGGCCTCAGGGTAGAACAAATAAATTGGGTTATTGCTTACACCTGTCTCAACCCCCACCTGACCCTTCATAAGGTCACCTTAAAGTCACTGGTCACTCTGTAGACTGACCAGTGACCAGGGGCTCAGGACAAGGTCGGTCTGGCCAGTGGTGTTATTTCCCCTCATGAAATAACAACATGCACGTAATAATACCATGGTTGTGTAACTATTTCAAAAAGACTATATGATTTAAAATTATTTAATTATTATATTATTATTATATGTTCTGTACTACTTCGAAACCTGTAAGATTGCCCGAGCCAAAAGAGAGACATGAAAATATTTATTTGAAACGCTGTGCAACCCTCGAGTAAACAAAGAATGTAGTCAGTATAGTCTATAGACCAGTTAACAAAGAACCTCCAAATGTCCACATCTTTTAAACAGGGAGAAGTCACACTTTGTTTATTGTAGAATAATCACTGCCAAAGTGCACTTCATGAGTACCCTTTGTTTGCCCTCTTTAAAGATCAACTCCACTTGTATATCGTAGAATGTACCTTTGTTACATAAATGAATAACAACTATTTCATAACTTTCATGAACATGTATGATCCAGTATTTGTCTTGTATAAGTTTTGTATAAATGACGCTTGTCTGCCCATGCGCAGAAGTATCTATGAATTGGCTTATAAAGAGGTGGTCTTTCTGCACAGGTGGCCTTTCTGCACAGGTGGTCGCTAAGGCTTTTGTTTGTTGTTACTGTACCTTTTAATTGGCTATACCATAGCAGCAGAATTAACATTTTACAGTGAAACCTACATGTACACATAAAGACTGCTCATGGATAACAATAAAAGAGGTATTTACAGACAGGTTGTTGTTTATATACATGTGTGAAAGTGAAACATTGCTCGAGAAAACAAATAATATAGACAGCATAGAATTGCCATACAGAGGCTTTGAATTTTCTATATATTATGATGTATATGTTAACATACTTTTATCTTAACAGCAACAAAAAGAAAATAAAGGGGGTGGCGACGTGGGCAAGACCCATGTTAGTTAGTGTTAAGCCTTGCCATGACTTGGTAGTTTTCTTCAATGAAAGGGAAAGGGGAGTGCATGTGAACCTGTGAATGATTTATGATAACGCCCAGTGATACCTAAGTTATAAAGGCATATGATGTAAGTTTTTATTTTAGATACATAAATCATGTCAAGTGTCGACCGGTTGTAGAGCTTCTTCCTAAGTCTGAGATAAGGAAATATTCATGAGCCATAAAATTTCTTCACAAATGTTTTCTTTTCTACAGGTTATCTTTTGAGGATTTTATACTATTTGTTAGCAAGAAAAGCCACTGATTAATCATAGATTCAGAGAAATAAAGAAAAAAATGTATAATTAAGAGGGATTCCCTTTTCCATGGAGAAAGTAGCTTTGTGCATGTGCAGGCTATCTTTGTTGCATAAAGCCAGCTAGTCACGTACGCCCGCTTCAATGTAGAGAAAGGATGACGTGCTCGCTCTCTGTGACAGCATAGCCAACGACGTCACAGATAATTTATGAGCCAAGCGCTCACATGGGGAAGTGGATTCTCTCCATCTATCTCTTTTTCTCTTTCTCCAACCACCATCCTCTCTCTCTCTCTCTCTTTCTCTCGCTCTCGCTCTCGGCCTCTGTCCTTCAGATCAACTTCACGAGCCTCTACGAGAGCGTGTGCGTAATTCTGAGCGTGTGTATGAACCTTTGTGTGTGTGTGCACGTGTGTGGAAGTGTAGAAGTGTGTATGGCATTGAACGTTCCACTGCCTTCCATGGGTACAGTATATTAGTCACTGTTTGGCTGCCTCTCTTCCACAAACCCGTCTGCAACTCCAGTCTGCCTGACAGCTGAGCGTCTGTTGCTACCCACTACCATTCCAGTTTCCAACGCAAAGTTCGTCCGTGATCCACATGTTCCATCTCTCGCACAGCCTTCTTTCTTCATGTTTATATGGCTTATGTGACAGTCTCGTGCATCTCCTCACCGACTTCTGTTTCGAGGACAATTTGAAGGAAGTCTCAGTAGACGACACCGTTTCTTCAAGACATTTCATCATGGGTCTTAATGGCCTTTGAATCCTTCGTTGCATCTTATAAGAATCTTTACAAGACATCAGAGCAAACGGAAGACTGATCCCTCAAAAAAAGAGGATTTTACATTTATTTTGTCGTGGTTCGAGAGGAGAAGTTTAAAATGAAGCGAAGGGCTTCGTCCTTTGAGGAAGAAGATGACTATAGTTGGACTAATGCTAACTTTCCTTTCGGAGAAGATGGCCTGTTGGAGGAGTCGTCTTCCTCCGAACACCAAGACGACTCGTCAGAGTGCTACGACTCTGAAGAAGACGACAGGTGAGCTTGATAAGATGCCTGTAGTAACCTGTATATAAAGGCCGCTCAAGGGAGACAAGAAAAGTGGTCTTTGTGTACATGTTTCTTTGGTACATGTTTCAATGAAAATCCATTTTCAAGGGAAACAAAAATGTGGTCTTTATAGAGAGGTTGTCTTCTGTACAGGTGGTCATTAAAGCAGGTTTAAAATGTTCTATCGGCTTCCTGCAATGAGGTTGTTATAGAATGTGTTTTGTCAGTGGCTTAACATCCCTATTGATTCTATGAATATATTTCTGATAAATGAGCTAAATCTCTGGTGCAACTGCTTGGGGTATGCATTACACATGTAACACTCAATTATCACATCTTTGGTGGCAGTGCTTTCTCATTGTCTAGAACTCAAATTTTTATGAAATTGTTTTTGAAGGCTGTGAGGCCATTCAGGCCATTCATTGTTGATGGCAGTAAAAACACGTACACGCAAGCATCTGAAGAAAAGGCTCACTTTCCTTGATGCAGTTGGTAGGGTTGCACATTGTATGTGATGATACCGATTATAAATTGAGGCTATGCGTGATTTTTATCTTTGGTCACCTAGTCCAGATGTTGTTGTTTAGTGATGGTTATGATAAGGTATTGTTTGATCATGTGATGTATGTGTGTGTGTGTGGGGGGGGGGGGGGGGAGAGATTTTATGCATTCATTCAGACTGTCAAGAAATAAATCATTCTTAGCTAGGTAGATGTGATTTAGAGGGCAAAATGTTATATATACAGAGATGTGCAGTGAAAAAATGAGAAAGAATGAGAAGTAACAGAGAAAGAGAGAAAGAGAGAGAGGGAGAGAGAGGAGATGATGCAGACTCAAGGAGAGAACAGATAAGATCATTGGTGATGAAAAAGTTTGATGTACATGTAGCTAGAGGAGCCCGGAAATGAGAACAAGTAAAAAAGAAAAGAATGACGTAAAGATGAAAGAAACAGTGAGACCGCGAGCGATTGAGAGAGAAAGAGACTGCTCCATTGAGGGCTATCAGATAGTGACACTGTTTTTGTTCTCAGAAAAAGGGAATAACATTGATCAAAACACTTGAAGTGGGAGGGGGAGGGGGGGTACTCTTCGTCCGGAAGTTACATGAAAGCAAGATGACGACACAATAGATGTAACAAGCATCAGCCACAGGTCGACGGAAAGGAGTTCAAGGCAAAGCTTTGCTCCATCTCTGGGGGATCGAGTGACAAAACCTTGCCGGCGGTATGTTGCATTCGCTGCTTCCGCTGGAGCCGGGCGGAAGTAAATAGCCAGTCGTAGCTTGTGGAGTCGTTGGCCGACATCAGCAAAATACAATATGTTGGTAATCTACTAATGAATACGATAGGGGAAACTATTCATGGTGTGAAGTTACTAGGGATTTGAAGTAGGAGATAAGACTCTACTAGGGCTGGTTTTGAAGGGAGAAAATAAGTGTGTGTTTCATTTCTCTTCATGTTTCCACATGGACAAGGACATATATAATGTTGTATAGGAAAAACAAAGTTGGTTTAAAAAATCATAATATTAGGGCTGATCTTGAAAAAGATATTAAAATGTTTGCTTTGTATCTGTATAATAACAAGTATAAAGTAGTGAATTATTATTTATGTTTTTGTTTGTTTATCATATACAAGTGTTTCTGTCACTGTCTCTGCATGCATGCATGCAACTTGATCATTCTGGATGGAATATATGAGAAGAATATTAGTTTGTTCGGGGCACTTGAAAGTTTATGGAATAGCCAGAAAAATGTGGGAAACTCATGAGAAGTTGCTTTATGTTACGTGTCAGAATAGACAGCATATGATCTCTCGACCCCACCATAATGAAAAGTTATTACAGGAGGAATGTTGCTTCACAGGAGTCTATAATATTTTTTGTAATATCTTGTACTCTTAAGATGTTGAGATGCTATTAGATAACTGTGATGGCATATGCTAAATAAGTAGCCATGACCAAGTGATTGTATTTATGTTGGCAGAACAACGACCCAATCCATGGTAGTTATGGTCATGGGTTCCACGCTTTGGATATGAGTCACGCAGGGGGATTTCCCTAGCAGTAGGCGGGTCGCCCACTGCATGGTCATGGCCAGATGCGCTTGCTGTCGGTTCTCCTCCCACGCCCAGTGCGAGGGAGGGAGGTTGTAGCAGACGCTGTTTCTGGATTTTCAGATGCCACAGATTAAGAGATGTGTGTTTCAAGATAATGCTGATAATGCAGAAAGAGAGAGAGAGAAAAAAAAAAATAAGGAAGAGAGAGAGAGAAAGCATGTGACATATCATTGATACATTACAAGATTAATAATTTGATTCATTAATTTTGACAAATGAAGGAGATGTAATTTGTGCACTGCGTAAACAACGGTAATTGGCCGTTGAGGTGGAGAAAGAAAGACTAGTTGGTCATTAAAGCTCAGCCCACGCTCGCTCATACATGTAACCATAGTTGAAAACATGCCAGCAGAATATGCTTACTATTACTACCGCTGACTGAGGAGCGCACTTGATTCTGTTATATGGACGAAAATAGAAACTCATTCAGAAAGTGACGTCTGTATTAGGGACTTTGAGACATGAATACTGAATGTCGTCGAATGCGTGTGTAATGTTCTGGCAGGTCTGATAGGAAAGTAAATGAAACGCTGGCATGTTCTTCCGGCTAGCTGCTCAGTGACGTCATTCTAGGTGCTCATTCTTTGAGGGGTCTTTTCTTTGTGGCAGTGAGGGAGGGGGGGAAATGCACGTAGCTTCGGCTTGGTTGGAGCTCAGCCAAAGTTTGAAATCAATACCAAAGGACGAGAGAGAGAGAGAGAGAGAGAGAGAGAGAGAGAGAGAGAGAGAGAGAGAGAGAGAGAGAGAGAGTGATGTTGACTGATTGTGATGAGTATGTGAATGGACTAACATTTACATTTCTAGACTGGTCCACTTTTTAATGTTGTGATATTGATCAGTAAATGTTATTTTGTGTATTTTTTAAGGGCTTTGTTCTATAACATTGCAATGCATCTTCTTGTTTGACTTGTAAAGCACCAGTCATATTGCCAAACCAACTGCAAATCAACAAAAAACTGACAAAATTTTGGCCATTTGGGGTAATGTAATTCAATCCAGTCTATTGTTAGTCTGGTGTTGGTCCTCTCAGTTTGATTAGGGATTAATAAGCTAATTTGAAATGATATCATTAACAAAATTGTTCAGACTGAATCCAGCGTAATCTTGGCCATTTGGGATAATTTCATTTTTAATTTAGATTGTTGCCAGTTTGTCGATATGATTGGAGTATAAATGTGTATTGGAATGATGTTTGAAATGGACTTTACTTCCATATTTTGGATTTTTAATTTAAACTTGTATTCACTTGTATTTTTCAGGGCGGTGCGAGCTTTCCAGCAGGTCCTCTACATTGATCCTGGGTTCAGCCGAGCCAATGAGGTACATCTGCGCCTGGGTCACATGTTCAAAGTGAACTCGGACTTTGATTCAAGTCTCAAGCATTACCAGTTGGCTTTGATCGACAATAGCCCCTGCACCCTCTCCAAACCTCAAAGTAAGTCGACTGGTAATGGTGATGGTGAGTTGGTGGTGTTGGTGGTGTTGGTGGTGGTGGTAGTGGCGGCGCTGGTGATGGTGGTGGTGGTGGTGGTGGTATTGGTGGTGGTGATGGTGGGTTGTTGTTGGTGATAGTGGTGCTGATGGTGGTGATTATGATGATGGTGACGGTGATAGTGATGGTGGTGGTGGTGGTAATGGTGGTGGTAGTAAAACAAGTCTTGAATTTGAAATAAAAGGAAAGTTGTCCAAAGTCATGGACAAATTATGTAAATTCATGTTATATATGAAAATAAGAAATTGTCACTCCCAGGGCTGAAGATGTTGTAACTTTCCCAGTTTGTGTGATATCCTTGATGATATAAATGGTGTTATTTTTGAAAATCATGGAAAAGTGGTGGATTTCATTTTCTATGAAGTGCGAAAACCTTTTTAGTAATTACCCTGTTTTGTAGCTGACACTAGTGTGTGTATGTTTGTGTGCTTAATAGAGCCTGAATACACATTTGAATATGATCTAAGGAATGCCCATGCTTACACTACAAAGGGGAATACCCCGAATTCCCCCACCATCCTGACTTGTTGACTGGATTGGTATGTGTTAGTCTGTTATTTCAGACTCAATTTTGATACCCGATAAAACTGACACATACATTGTAGCAACCTTCATTATGTGCACTAGTCCTGCTGCATTGGGCAAATGTGATTTCTACTCACAGGAACAAACTGCCGTATTACAATCTCGGCTAGACTAAACATTAACAAAGATATATTTGACCTGAATTTACAAGTCTAGTGCATAAGGGTCTAGATAGCAAGACTACCGTTGGAAATGATATCACACAGGAGAGTGGGTAAATCAGCAAACATTAACGAGATCTCATTACCGGTGGACAAGGAAATAGGATGGAAGTGACGACTATATCGCTCTTCTAACTTTAGCTCAGAGGAAGTAGACATCGTAGTAGGGCTATTCTTAGCTCATGATCTATTAAATGCATGTGACAATGGCATAATTTGGCGTCATATTCCACAATGGTCAAATTAATAAATGAAGTATTCTGATTGATCAGGTGGATGACATGTCTAGTATTCTACCAGATTCGGTTCTGGAAGGCAGCTGTCTATTTTTTTGCTCTCGCGAAGTTCCCACCGTTTGATTATTTATGACGGCAAACTTTGAAGGGATTGAACATGTTTACCCAAAGTGAGTACCAATATGAACATTGTGAAGACAAATGTCAAAGGTCACTACCAAAGATTGAGCATATTTTTATCCAAATAGATCCAGAGAAATCCTATGCTATTTTGGAGTGTTCTCTTTTTGTGATTGGAAACTTGAAGAAGTGTGTAATCTTAATTTTCTTTTCTTTTTCTGTTTTCATTCCAGTTAAATTTCATATAGCACACTTGAATGAGGTGCAGGTAAGTTTCTTGTTGTTTATTTCTTCTTTCGTATAAATTTTTATTTTTCATTTAATTCACATATTTCATTTTATGTAATTTTATTACTGGTATAAATATTTCTCAAAACTAGTTTAAATTCTGGTATGTTTTGCGTTCGGATGAGTACTTATTTAGCAAACCTTTGCAATTGTTTGCAAAAGTATGTACTTTATTATAGTGAAGAATTAAAAGGGATTTGAATGTAGATACATTTGTAGGTAGGTGGTAATGGGATACAAGGGGGATAATGATAAAAAAGAAAGAATAATGACTGAGACTGTGCTTTTATAAAATGCTTCTTTGGTGAATGTGGTGGTCGCACCTTACTTGACAAATGCACTCACCAAAGTTCAAATTTTTGACACATTGCCTTCTCAAAGTTCTTTCTGCGTCTTAGCACCAGATTTGACACCAGAGTGTTGAACACTTTGTGAGTCAAGTGATGCCGACACCAAATTTTCAGTTCCTTCTGTGTTATGTCTCCTACTCATAGTTGTTTGGTGTTAGAACCAGATTTGACACCCAAGTGTTGAACACAATTTAGTTACACAATGCTGACACCCAACTTTTAGGTGTTGACACCTTGCTTCATCGTTTATAAGTTCCTTCTGTGTTTTGTCTCCTCCAGCAGAACAAACACAAGAACGCCAAGGAATCGTACGAAGCCATCCTGCTTCAGGACCCTCTACCAGAAGGCCTGAAAGCGACAACATTCAGACAACTCGGTGAGTAACTGATAATACCTGTAATGCACGGAAGAGTAGAGAAGGTTGAGTTCTGATAGAGATGGTCAATATTTTGTGAGCCTTCTTATTCCAGTTTGGAGGAATATCATAGTAGAAATGTCCCCTGAAAAGGATTGCTCTTTGTGTGGCTTCATATTCATTGTTTATTGTTAGTGTATTTTGCATGTTTCCTTGTTTTCTTTATTTAAACACGGTGTAAAAACTATCCTGCTTTTAGCCAAGAGACTGTCTGTTTTACAATATCATTATACACAAATGTTATTAAAAAGACCAACAAAAAATCAACTATATCTATGTACAAAGATTACAAATGTAGAAAAGGTTATACAATACGATGTATGTATGATGTTGATAACAAGAGCCAAACTATGCAAACCGGTGTATAAAAAGAAACTAAATCATAAATATCCATCAGACATTAAGGCTTTTCATGGCGATTCCTAAGAAAAGATCTATTTTTACCTGAAGTTTCAGTTGCTTGCAAATGATTTGAATACATAGAAGATGCGGGAGACAAGATGTTTGACGTCGAACCCTCGTCATATACATTCACAGTATGAATAGATAAGTGTAGGCCCTTGATACAGTAGTATTGATAATTGTTGTTTAGAAATGCATGTGGCTGTGTATATGAATATGAGAGGTTGCTCTTCGCCTTAGAAAACAGAAAGAAAAAAACACACTCGGAAAGGTCACTTATGCTTGTTGGTAGTCCACAGTGTACATGTACGTCTAGGTAGGTAGTCTGGAGTAAAGGATCATGAGAAGAAATAAATCGGAATAAATGAAAATTTAAAAAAAAATTAAAAACAGTTTCCCATAATCCCAAAGTGTGGACAAATAATACAACAAATCTTAAAAACAACATATGAATGCCTTTTTCTGAGAGGAAGTATATGAAAGCTGAGAACAACTTATATTGAATGGTAAAAGAATATATAGGTTGATCATAGAACCATTAATAAGATTTATAAGAAATGACTTGATTTGTTGTCCCTTTGCAGGTTGGCTGTACCACAGCTCAGACCAGCTTGGTGACAAGACCTCCAGGGAAACCCTGGCCATCCAGAACCTCCTCAAGTCCCTTGAAGTTGAGCCCAACAGCGGCCAGTCCTGGTACCTCCTGGGCCGCTGCTACTCCAACATTGGCAAGGTGCATGATGCCTTTGTCTCCTATCGCCACTCCATAGACAAGTCAGAGGCCAATGCAGACACCTGGTGCTCAATAGGGTAGGTTCAAGGGATTTTCAAGGAGAATAGGGAAGGGGGCAATTTAGATCAAATATGTCTGGGGGGGGGGGGGCGGGAGCATGCTCTGTTCAGGTTTTTTTTTGTTAACCAAGAAGGTGCATGATGCCTTTGTCCCTACCGCCACTCCATAAATAGGAGGCCAATATAGACACCCTGTGCTCTATAGCTTAGGTTCATATGCTCTGAATGGGGAAGGGAGTAGGGCTATGTTTAGGGGGTAAGACGTTAACTCCATGTAGCATTTGAGTGCTTCCGCAAATAAATGAGTTTAAAAAAAAAAAGATTCATTCCACGGTCAAAAACACATAAAAGATATTTAAATAATTCCATCTATGAGTTAAATCTGCTCAAAGAACCTGATTCAAATGGTGTTCCTTGGAAGTGATCCATCTTTTGCGCCAGTGAAAATTTGTTCAGGCCTTACTTCGTTAGAGATCTATGATTAGGATGGCATTTAAAAAATAGGTTAGGTTTAGAGTTAGGGTTAGGGTTTATAACGTTTGGTCTTTGTGTTGAAATTAGATTTGTGTAGGTAGGTGAACACAAAGCAACGGTTGGTGGAGAATGTGTCGTACATCCTGGAGTATTACATCAGATTCCCACTGGAAGCATATTTTTCTTCAATATATTTAAAAAAATTTGTTCTCTTATTTTCCTCTTCCGTCTCAGTGTCTTATACCAGCAGCAGAACCAGCCTATGGATGCACTGCAGGCCTACATCTGTGCCGTGCAGCTAGACAAGTCCCACACTGCAGCGTGGACCGATCTGGGCATCCTATACGAGGCCTGCAATCAACCCAGGTCAGACACACTCCACAATGTTTCCCCTCAAAAGAATAACCCTACGATTAATATTGATTTCCATCTTGAGATATGCTAAAGAATTATTCAATTCAATTTCAATTCAATTTATTTTGCCAAGCAATAAAAAACATACAGGGTAAAACAAAAGCAGTATACAAAGTTTCACACAATTCCAAAACATAAAAATAATACAAAGGAAATTGCTAATGCTGGTAGCAGCCTGAAAGGACGTGATCCTTATATGCGGCTGACCAATTAATCAAATATAAAAAATTAAGCTATAATAACAAGTAAAACAAATAACAATTACATGTAAAATATAATGAATTTAACAACCGTTAAAATCTGTAGCTATTATATGTGCTGACTACAATTTTTGTTTGTTGGGGGCGCCCTTACAGAACACAGGATTAGATTAAAGTGTGAAGACAATGATACAATTCAATTTTCAAATACTCTGGAACTTGCGATTTGTCTTCCCCAATTCTGATTAGGATTAAGTGCAGAAGACCCCAACCTGCATCAGTACAGTGTATTTGCTTTTGGGTTAGTGTCAGGCTTAGGGTACCTGTGTGACAAAGTTTTTGGCAGTTATTACAGAATTAATGTACAATAAACATCTGGAAGGAGTTTAAATTTGTTGCAATATTTAATCGGTGCCTTTGATTGGTGTGTTTTCAGGGATGCCCTGACGTGTTACATCAACGCTTCCAAGAGCTCCAAGGTAGCAGTGGCAGCAGCACTCTCCAAGCGGATTAAACTCCTGCAGGCTCAGGTCAACAGCATGCATCATCCTAATATGCAAAACAAGTAAGTTCCACATCTTTATTTAATGCCCCACTGCACTACTTATAGCTCCTTGCGCCCTGTATATAGCAAAGAATTCCTAATTGGTGACCATTGGTCCCCCATGATCCTCTTTTTCTTATGTTAATTGAGAGCTTATTTGATGAGGTAATAACCTGTTAGTGACCATGCAGGGAGGTCTAAACCCTCCTGGCCAAACTAGTGCAGTGGTGGGGCTTAAAGTGCTCTATTATATTTGTTGAGATGAGCTTGTGTTTGACGTGGGTCTCCAGTAGGGTGCTGTGAATAAGGATCTACACTTGTGTGTGTGCCTGTTTGTTTGTGTGTCTGTGTAAAAACAAAAATATATAACTATATCTCTCTTTGATCGAATTATTTGATCACCTAACGTTGCAAGACAAATGAATGTCACTAGCGATATTATTTTTGATAACTCTCTTTCTCTTCCCACATGACAGAAGTAAGACACTGCCTAGTATAGAGGAGGCATGGAGTCTTCCTATTCCAGCTGAGCTTACCTCTAGACAAGGCAACCTTGCCATTCAACAGGTAATAAACCCTTCCATTCATCCTCTCCAATGTAACAAATCTTCAGTATTTACGTGTTATAACTCAATACATCAGCGTCAATTTCTATTTAAAATATAAATATTCCTCACTTAACAATGATTACAAAAATAATAATAATAATGAATCTATTCTATTTGTACCATAAATTTGTTTGCCAGTATGGAAGGCATTTTGGTAAGATTTTAAGGTAAAATATATCGGTAGGCCTTTAACTCTGTTGGTGGTGTCCACAGGCAGATAGGCATTACAACATCCTGAAGCACAATTTGATCTTATCAGTAGACGAGTAAGAATATGTGTTGCCTATGTTTCTTGCAGGCCCGTTTGCTGCATCCTGCTGGAGGCACCAAAATGATGCCCCCTCCCCCGTACCCGGGTCACGGTGCAAACAGCCAGTTCGGTGCCACCCTTCCTGGCACCGCTGGCCAACCCAACAGCACCCCATCCTCTCAAGCTCAGGTCAACGCCCAGCCAGGCAACCCAAGCAAGCGCAGGAAAAACTCAAACAGCAAGAAAAAACCTCGGGTATGTAGTCCTTTTTTCTTCTTCATATATAGGGAATATAACTATTCCTCGGCCACACCGTCAAAGAGACTCCTAACTGAGTGGGTCTTGGCCATTAAAGCAAATGTAATTTTCTGTTGGTATCTTGTCAGTCCCCAAGGTTTGACATGGGTATCAGAAAGTTTTGTGCTGATAGTTTATGTCTTTCCATACCAGCGAATGTACAACTTTTTACCCCACATCAACTGAGTAGTAGTGTGAGATGAATGTCAAGTACAATGATTTTACTTCTTGCTCTTCCGTATCTTTGATTATGCCTTTGGTGAGTACACTCTAAATAACTTGACATGCTTTCCTTATATTTCTTGTTCAATATATATCAGTCTTCCACCTCCGTCGCTGAACTGCTGCAACAACAACAACTGCAGCAGCAGCAACGAGAGCAGCAACAGCAACAGCAGCAAGCAGGCAGCCTGGCGACACCTCAGCAACCACAGCCATTGCAGTCGACGGGTCAAGGAACCCTTCCCGGCCTGCCCAACAGCGCCAGGAGCACACCCGAACCAATACGGGATGGCAGCAGTGGGATGCAACAGCCACAGCCTTCGGTGAACCAGCAGCAGCAGCAGCAGCAGCAGGTCTCGACACCCTCGTTCTACCTGACAGCACAGCAGATCCAATTGATGCATCAGCTGCAGCAGAACCAGGGAAGCCTCACCCCGGAGCAGCAGATAGTCCTGCAGCAGTTCCAACATAATTTCTGGATGATGCAGCAACATCAGCAGCAGGTATGTAGCTTTAGCCTCGGTCACAAATGCCATTACGAACTGCTACGAACACCGTACAAACGATTTTCAGACAATGGATATTCGGGAAGACGATGGAAAAATAGGGAGATTCGTACGAACCTTTGTGACCGTAGCTTTAGCTAAGAAAGGTGCCTTTGTTTTTTAGTAAGAGCTTCACCTGACCTTTGCGAAAGGACATTACACTAAACAGTTTTGTTTAAATTGTAGGAAAATAGTGACTCTTGTACTAGGAGGTAGAATGGCATTTATAATTTTTCCATCAATAATGAACTATCAAAATATTGTAAATTCTGTAGATTTGTGGCCATAATTTGTACTTCCCTTGAGAGACCAATGCCAGTAAGCAGTGAGAGCAAACAGTGGCATGAGTGGCCTGCTAGAGTAAATCCAACTTAAAGTCGATCTTTGTGAAAAACACTCCCATGGTTTGTTAGTTTATTTTATCATCACGGCTGCAATGGATAATACTAATTTGACTTGTTCACCTATTCCCAGATGCTGAAGATCCAACAGATCCAGAGGCATCAGCTACCGCTCTCGCAATCCCCCTCGCTCCCCCACCAGGGTGGTCCACCCGCTGGCACACCCACCTCAACCATGCTGCATGGGCTCACACCAGGGGATCCCCACATCACCACAGCAGCCCAATCCGTCAGTAGCCTTATCAACCAGACTGTAAGTATAGCCGGAGAAGACATTCTCTGTGATGTGATTGGCATAAAGTAGATTCAATATTGTTTTGAAAACATAAAAACAAAGAGATAAACAAATAAAATGATAGATGTAAAACTTCTAAAAGTTCTGCCTATGTCCTGTTGATGTTGAACATTCTAATTTGTAAAGAACTTTACTCATGAATACATATACAAAATACATGTTATTATTTTTTATTCTAGAATATGTCCTTAATGTGCTTATTATTAATCATGCTAAAAATATTTCTCACTTTCTTGTTTCATTATCAATTTGCAGAGTATCAACACCTTGCCGGGCTCAGTGAATTCCATGGGAAACGGTATCCCAAACATGACGACACAGCCCGGAAATGCCTCGAGCACAGTTGCCAGTTTGTTGCAGCAGCATCAGCAACAGCAGCAGCAACACGGTGGTAGCCAGGGGCTTAATGCGCTTGCCCAACAGCACCAGGATGTGAACGTCCTGCAGTCCGTCTCGCCAGACTTTTTCCATTTGCAGAAATCGCAGCAACCTCAGGAGATGTCCCATGGTCTGTTCAATAACCAGCTCCTCGGCAGCCCCATGCATTCAGGGACATCACAGGTATCTTTATCAGGAGTGTCCTCTCCACTGCATACCCCTAAGGGGTTACTTTCCCCTGTGTCCTCAAATTCAATGAGCCCTCGTCATGTGGGGAGTTCCCCTGCCTCGCAGAACATGCTGGATTTTCCTGCTCCAAATGTGGTCGCCCCTCAGAACCTTGACATGAGCCACAAACTCAAGGAGTTTAAATCCAGAACTGGTGCATCGGAAATGAGACCGAACCTCATGTCGCCGCAGGAAATTGCTGACAACATGCTCGCGCAGCTCTCGCAGGGAGATCCTGCCAACAAGCCTGCGACCTCTTCCGCGTACGGGTCATCCCCGACAAATCGGACTGCTCATTCTTTACCGAGCCATGCTCAAAACAGGACAAACCTAGACATGCCTTGTGGCGTGAGTAGTGCTGCGAGTGGGTTGCCAACAAGTGTGGACGGCACGAAAGACAATGTGTTTAAGACGCCGCTTCCTGTTTCCACGCCAAACCAGTTTCAAGCATCATTCCAGTCGGCTCTCGCTGAGAAGCAAGCGGCCGGGACAACAAATAGCACGTCCTTGTTGGATGGACTTCGGTGTTCATCAGAGCTTTCCAGTGATCTTCAAGACACACAGGGTAACAGGCAACGAGTCGAGGATGGAGAGGTTCTGCAACAGAACCATGTCTCTGACAACCACTTTGATCAGGTAGGCTGCTACTACCGTGGTCTTCCAACTCTTCCTTCAGTCATGTTTTCTCAAGGTTTTTTAGTTCATCCATGTTGTAGAATTTTGTTGTAGAATTTTGTTGCAGTTGGCTTTTAGGTTAGGTGAACGATAACGTTTGGATATAAATGTCCAGGAATTACAGTAGTTTGTAAAAGAGACTGCGACTGCAGACTGAATATCAGTAAAAATCTATACCAGGTATAAGTTTTATGTATAATTGCTTTCCTTCCCATCGACAGGTCCTAAATGTGAACACTTCTCTCAACTCTGCCACCGTCAAGTCCCTGACGTCCGCCCCATCTCCGTCATCCCTCTCCATTTACGTCAACTCCGCCAAGATCCTGGAGGAGTGCCGCAAGCTGAAGGGGCGCAACGGCCTGGCCAACAGCAGCATCTGGATGGAGAAGATGCCCCCTCCAGCCCCGCCCCAGATCCCGTATCCACCCCTCCCCAAGGATCAACTGAACCCGCCCACTCCTAGTGTTTATGTGAGTACTATTCAGTGTGGTCATTATATTGCCATGTGGTTCTCTTATCATCGATGCCTATAATTTTCAAGTTCATCTTCATCCTTTTCTTCAACCTTTTGATGATCTTTGATATATATTTTTTGTTTTGCCTCTCTTGGTTCTTTTGGAAATCACTGTTCCTAAAGAAACTTATTCCATATATTTTTATGAAGATTATATTTTATATTTTATAGTCAATGTTGCATGGGTCAAAAAGAAAACAAAGTAGAGGCCTAATTTGGGGGAAGGGGGGCTTCTATGTGGGGAAAGGGAGCTTCTGAGGTGCTTTTAGCATCTTAATGTCTTCCCCAAATTATATTGTAATTCTAGGTTAACCGAATGATCCTTGCTTGTACAATGGAATGAACTCTCTAGTGGTTTTGGATGGCCATATTGGAACAAACAGTGGACTTTTCACACTTACAGTATTGATGTATTACAAACAATATGGCAGTGTACTGTAGGGTTCCACTCCTTAAGGAATACAGAGTTAATTAGGATTATCCCGTCTTTCCACAGGTCCAAAACAAGACCGAGGCCTACTCCCAAGCCCTTGCAGACTATTGCATGTCCGCAGATCAGCCCATCACGGTCATCCGGGGACTGGCCGCCGCACTCAAGCTGGACTTGGGTCTCTTCTCCACCAAGACGCTGGTGGAGACGCACGGCGACCATCCTGTAGAGGTCAGGTCACAGGTACGTGTTCTTTGTGCAGCGGTAGTGACGGCGTGTGAATGTTGGCAGGATTCCAGCCAAATTCAAACAAATGTTGCAGAATACCCCACCTCACAAGGAACCCTAACTCTAACCTTAATCCTAATCCTAATCATTACCTTGGCTCTGAGCCTGACCCCAACCCTAGTGTACCAGAGCTTGGGGTGGTATTCTACAGTTTGCTCAATCTTTACAGTTTTAAACAGAAACTTTTGTCTTAACATCAGACAGCTTAGGTACTACAATGAAATATCTATTTAAAGACCACTCAAAGGAGCCAAGAAAAGTAAAATATATTGGTAAGTGGTCTTAATATACAGGCTCTGTTACTCACGGTTTCAATGAGAAACTCTGCTTATGAGAGAAATATATCTTTATAGACAGGTAGTCTTTCTGATCTATAGAGGTGATCACAAAAAGCAGGTTAAGACTGTATTTTGTTACTCCTCTTGATAGCCAGTTCACATTTTACCGTCTTTCTGAATTGTTACAGAGGCAGCAGCCTCCCGATGAGAACTGGGATGCACTAGGTCTGAAGAGGGTTTGGCGATGTGAGAGCAGTCGGTCCTTCACCACCATCTCCAAGTATGCCCAATACCAGGCTTCCTCCTTCCAGGAATCACTCAGGGTAAGTTGCGAAATGTCTCCTGGAGTTGTGCTACGAGGGATCTTTTCATGGGTCTTTAAAGCCCCGCTGCACTACTTATAGCTAGTTGCGCCCTCTATATAGCAAACAATGCCTAATCGGTGACCATTGGTTCCCCATGGTACCCTTTTTCTTATGTTAATTGAGAGCTGATTTGATGAGATAATCACTTGTCAGCGACCATGCAGGGAGGTCTAACCCCTCCTGGCCAAACTATTAAGAAGTTTTAGAAATTCTTCAACGATATTTGGAGAGTGGCAGACTTCATACACTCGAGGATTGATACTTAAAAACTGTTTTGTTGGCTTCCCGTTGGAAGGCTGTAAGAGCTATGTATTGATAATGGCAGTACTAGCCTTCATGTGGGCTAGTACATGGCAAAATACTATCCATATCATGTTGGACATCCAAATTCATCAAGTTCTTATCTCTTCATTTTCATTTTTTATTTTACAGGAAGAGGCAGAGAAGAACCAGAAATACAATTCAGATAGCGACTCATCGAGTACATCAAAAAAGTAAGTGACAGTTGTGGTCACCATTATAATACAGTCATTAATGTAGGGCTTGTATAGCTGAGTAGAGGTTGACGATTAATGAAAATTCTGGAACCGGAGAATTTGTGAATTCAAGCAAATTGATGAAATGAGGGTGAATTATTTTCAGATTTTTTTTTAATAATACTGATGAGATTAATCTCCTTCCCTTTATCTTGAAATGAAAAAGAAAAAGAAAAAGAAAAATCTCCCCCCCCCCTTCTAAAAAAAAAAAAGCATGTAAAAACAAATTAAAATGAACAAATCATCTGGTGAAAGTTAGAGTTGACGCTACGGCTTTTAGCAGATTATATATTTGGAGATTTGTTTTACAGATGACCAAAACTGTTTACTTCTGCTCAAAAACAGATGATAATGTACACTGAGATAATACCAATTCATCATAAATATTCCTAAAATTAGCTGTTGAAAAGTATGTGCTCAAGCAAAGGGAAGAAAGATAGACAATAATGAATGTATGTTGAGAGATTAATCTTCACAAAATTTATCTTTTGCCCTTTCTTCTCATTTAACAATCAGAAAAAAGAAGCATTCTGGTGGGAGAGAATTCAAAATGCTCAAGTTCGGGACCAACGTGGATCTGTCTGACGAGAGGAAGTAAGTCTTGTTCTTCCATTTGTTACAGTTCTTATCCCCATGAAACTACTTGTTGTGTACTTGTATTTTGAGCTGATTTGTAATATCAGCAATGAAATTGAAAATGCTACATCTTATTAGACCTTTCGCTAGTTGAATTTTTCCTCCTGAAAGATTTCCTGATATTTTTTTTCTTCTTCAGTTTACCATTTTTGGGGTATCCCCATTTAAGCACTCTATTTCACGGAGCATAATAATATTCCCCTGGTTTTAGCTAAACTAGCCTAATAAGGCACTTAATCATTCAAGAAATTTGTTTTTACCAGATAATCATTTACCTCAACTGGGTAGATTGTGGCGATTATAGAATAATGTCTTTCCAAAGGGTATTAGTGCTATGGCAAGGATTCATACTCTGTGCCACATAGATCATAGTTTTGTGACTTTAATATACACTCGACCTCATACCAAATATACGATTTAGAAGTCAAATAGATTTACATAGTGAGGTTGATTCATGTGATAATTTGTGATAATTTTTTTGTTCCTTTTTGTAAAGATGGAAGAAACAGCTCCAGGAGCTGACCAAACTCCCATCCTTCACGAGAGTGGTATCAGCAGGAAATATGCTGAGCCACATAGACTTCACCATCCTAGGCATGAACACCGTACAACTCTACATGAAGGTACCAGGGAGTAGAACACCAGGTGAGGATGGTTGCCTTGGATGGGGGTGGTGGTGATGGTGATGGTGGTGGTGGTGGTGGGGTTGATAATGATAGTGGTGATGATGATGGTGATGAAGATGATGATGGTAGTGACGATAATGGTAGTATAATGATGATGGTAGTGGTGATAATGAATTTGAAGACGTTGGATTATGATAATAAAAAAATTGTCATGCTAGTGCTTGCAATGCTCTATAAATCAAGAATGCCATTATAACGTCAAGACGTGCCTAACAAATAACTGTCTCTTCTCATACATAGGTCACCAAGAGAATAACAACTTCTGTTCAGTCAACGTAAACATTGGACCAGGAGACTGCGAATGGTTTGCCACGCCCGCCTCTTACTGGGGCTCCATCTACAACCTCTGTGAAAGGTATTAAAACTCTTTCCATTTTACCAAACAAAATCTAAAAGGTTATGGTAGTGTCTACTTGAAGTATAGATTGTGGTAGCACTTGTGTGTTTTTCTACCGATTCAACCCTGAAAAAAACATTGGGTAACAAGTGTTAAAAATAAATCGACCAATGTTTGATCTTGTTGCAGGGCTAACATCAATTTCTTGAAGGGCTCGTGGTGGCCTGTCCTAGAGGATTTGTACGAAGAGGACATCCCTGTGTACCGGTTCATCCAGAGACCCGGTGACCTGGTCTGGGTCAACTCAGGGACAGTCCATTGGGTCCAGGCAGTGGTAAGTCCAGGGGGGTGTTTCACAAAGCCTTTTTTCAATGACAAATGACAAATATCAGTGACAAATCTGCTGATAACCAATCAGAACCAAGGATTTCAGTAGCTTATAACAAAAACTGTCATTTGTCACTGATGACAAGTTTTGTGAAAAGGGGCCCAGGCTTCTCATCAGTAAATCACACCTACAATATGTTATCAAAATGACCAAATACCTCAGGGACTCACCCTGAAATTAAGCTACAATTAATGGTTCTTTCTCTGAAGGAAAAATGTGATTATCCCTGCACCCTTAATATAATTGTTGCACATATGCGTTTTACAACCCCTTTAAATGACAGAAGTGCTTTGTAAGATTCGTCTCATGGTTGCCAATTTGTGTGTGATCGTTTACACATTTTGAAATTCATAACTTTGTTATTCTTTATAGGATTTTTCAAAAACTTTCACCGATCTGTTCCTCTCATTTTTCTGCCTTGATCCAAATCAATTGAATATCGAAGTGGGCTTTCCTTTATTTAACCTACTTCTTTGTGGTTTGAATGAACAGGGCTGGTGCAATAACATCGCATGGAATGTCGGCCCGCTTATGACGCACCAGTACCGGATGGCTGTGGAGCGGTACGAGTGGAACAAGCTCCAACAATACAAGTCCATTGTTCCCATGATCCATCTCACATGGAATATAGCCCGCAACGTCCGCGTCTCGGAGCCGCGCTACTTCGAGATGGTCAAGTATTGCCTGCTCAGGTCACTCAAGTACATCCAGATGACCAAGGAGTATCTGAAGGACATGGGTATCGAGGTCCACTGGCACGGCAGGGCCAAGAACGAGGCGGCCCATTACTGCACCAACTGTGAGGTAAGGGTCTTGTTTGGTGTTTGGTATCTTCAATTATCTAGTATTGCCGCTGCTCCAAATTTCTTGCAGATGCATTGTTATTGATGGGAGAAGTATTGTAAAAGATCCATCTTCTTTCTCCCATCCTTGTCTTTCTGTCCTCGGTCCAGTTCCAACTCTTCTTTTCCTTCTTCTTGTAAAGAATTTGATATATTTCTTATATGCCTCTACAACTCTCATGAATTAACCCTGCTTATCTTGAATAAATTCAATTCAATTCAATTCAATTCAATTCAATTCAATTCAATTCAATTCAATTCAATTCAATTCAAATTCAATTCAATTCAATAGTCAGGGTTGAAATACTTTATCAAAAAATGCGAAGACCATTTGTTCAAGCCCTGTCACAGCACCAATGTCCTTTGGCAAGACATGAGTATACATTGGCCTTCCCCCACCACTTCATGGTACTCAGTAGGAAGGAATTACTTGATTGCTACAAGTACTGAAATTGGACCCCTGGCAAGAGCTGGGGTAATGTCAGAGTGCCGGATTTCTTTTCAAGTATGATATGAGCACTATACAAGTACCGGTATCCAATACTACATTTACCTTTCTCCACCAGGGTGTTTAATGGGTACCTGGTTGGCAAGAAGGAATCGCTTGAATGCTATAAGCACTGAAATTGGACCCCTTACAAGAGCCGAGGTAATGTCGGAGTGCCTGGATCTCCACCTAAGTTTGATAGGAGCACTATACAAGTATCCAATAGTATGATCTGTTTACATCTCTCCCTCTCATTGCTTCTCTAGGTTGAGGTGTTTGACATTCTGTTCACTACGGAGAAAGACAAGAAGTATGAGGTGCACTGCCAGGACTGCGCTCGCAAGGCCAGTCCAACTCTAGAGGGCTTCGTCATCTTAGAGCAATACAAACAAAGCGAGCTCATGGAAATCTACGACAACCTTCAACTCCAAGACAAGGAGGTAAATTGAATATTCATTCACAAAAATTTAAGCTTCATACAAATGATTGAAGCTTCATGAAGCAATTTGACAGTTTATTGACAGTTTATTAATTTATTTATTAATGTTTGATGTTGGTACTAGTTTTTTGCAGGGGATCTTTACACATCAATTTTCTGTTCAGCTGGAAAGTAATATGAAGTTTTTAAAATTTCAATAATACTACACAACTCTCCCGAAATAAGTAGATTGCCTATTCAGTTTTAGACTTATAATATCTTTAGTGTAAGGATTATTCAATTTATGAATACTGCAATGTTTTGGAATGATCTATTGGGGAAAATGAGTATGGTAAAACCGGTCACTCAAAGATTTTTACTTTTTTTGAGGCACTTCTTGATCATTTTGAAGCGATTTTTTTTGGGGGCTTCCATATTACACCATATCACAAACACTGATAGCACGTAGGGCCATGCATCTCAGATTTAATATTGTTAAACGATGCCTTTAATGGGGCATTTCTTCTATGATACGAGAAACCTCACAAATTATTTTCATGCCTGTCCTTTCTGCAGGAATCTGAGTCTCAGAGATCATGACAACTAATGGAGCAGCTTGGGAGCTGCCCAACCCATCCGGAGCGCTAGGTCTCCATGGCAACGGGAGACGGCCCACGGGAGGGCATCTTACGATGGAGGAGAGGAGAGGAGAAATCACTCAACATGCTGCCAGACACCCTGTGTTCTTTGAATCACCCAACCCAACTCCAATTTCTGTTCCCTTTTCTCCGGACCCAGGAGTGTAATCATTGAGGGTCCATCTTTAGAATAGAGCATCCCATCCCGGTCCGAGCTTTGTGTAGTCTCTACTTCAATCTTCAGGCATCGTCTTCTGTGTCGGATGCTGTCGACGATGATGGAATCGTGTGAATGTTCAAACAATGCCTACTCCATGATATCAACCTTCTTTGAACCATCATGAATTCATATGAATGAATATTTGTGAGGTCTGATGACACCCCCCCCCCCCCAATCAACATTTGGCCAAGACCTGTAATAATATAGTTCTTCTTTTATACAATCTTTTTACTCAATTGTCGGTAATGACAAACTGTACACTCGCGTCTGCCATCAGTGAAGGCATGTTCTGTACTTACTAATGTGTGGTCGTAAGTTTTGTGTTTCCATGACAAGTAACGTGGACAGCTCACCTCTCTTTTATCAATGGTTTGATCTATGCAAGATGATGCTATGTCTAATGGTAGATTCTTTAATGTTGTACTGTTGTGGGGCAAGTTAACTTTTAGTCCGGGTTCTTATGGATACTGACACTCATTAGATTCTAATACATCTAGTATTGTACTCTCTTTGAAGGAGGTGTTGGAAATACTACATAGAGGTACAGTTTAACACTAATCATCTTTATTGTTATTATTATTCTCAAGTTTTTATTTTTTACGTGTGAAAAGCAGAAAAAGAAAGAAAGAAAAAGACAAAAATTATTTGTTCTTCTTTGTTTGCTAGTTGAAATTACAAAAAGCATGGAGAACGGTATTGTTGTGATTACATTCAAATATAATTATCATATTGATATATAGTTTTCTTGGTTTTCAAATGATTAAGATTTATTCTTTTGTCTTAGCTCTAAAATGTTAAACTGTACCTCTCATGAAATCTCTTTGCATCATGCTGCAACTCCAGATGATAAAGTTTACTGGTACATGTATGTTTAATAGGGGACAGAATGCTTGCCCCTTCTGTAGTAACTGTAATGTCAGACACCATTCAAGTGTAGAGTACCATTCAGAAGCAATAAGACACTGTTCTGTGAAGCCAAGTACTTCCCCAAAAAAGTATTTCTTTTGTGAGGATGAGGTGTATTCTCCTCCTTGCATCGGAAGGTATCATTTTCTTGAAAATATTGATGAGTTTCCCCGTTCAGTTTACTGCAGGCTGTTGAAAGAGTTTGCTCAGAAATCTAATTATTAATAATAAATAGACATTCAGAAATTCAACCATTTTATTTTATTCAAACAGAAAAAGGATTTGCCAAAATCTAGACCAATTTGGAAATCACACTCCTTCATTTCTTCTAAAAGCAAGAGGGAGTTAATGAACGTGCACTTCCCTCCAAATTTCCTTCTCATGAATTTCTTTCCGAGGAGTCCCTGTTGACTGTTTCTCCAGATTTTCCCAGTCTTAATATTTCCGGGACATTGTTATCTTGGGGAAGTAGCTGGCTTCCAGAACCAACAAAACTACTTATTATAGGAGGTGCACATATGCGTCTCCAATATGGTTTTGATTTCATTAAAAAAGGAGAGACTCATACACATTCCACTCTATGTTTGTAATCTTGCATGAGAGGTTTCAGGAGTCCTCCTCCTCTAGCTGTTCCTAGGGCACATCCTTAGCAAGGTCATATGTATAGGTCAAAGGTCACATGTTGTCAATGTGTTGTCTAATATGTAAGTGATTAGTTGTTTCTTTTTGTGACACATCTCAAATAAATCTCAAGAAACAGCTATCCAGGGTTAAAGTGTAAAATGGACATGTGAATTTGCATCAAAGGAGACCGTGGAATATGAAGTGAAGACGAGCGCAGTTTTATTCCGAGGCAAAGGCAGAAGATGATCATCATCTAGAGTGAATGTGAGGACGTATCGTCGATCAGGCTGATTTGGGAGAGAGGAGGAGAGAGAATTTAAAAAAAAAGGGAAATCTGGCGGCTATGCTGGCAGCTATTTTCTCAGCTCTAGTCATTGACCGAATGCTATGAAATGGGCAGCTTACTTTCATCTATGAAATCAACAAGGACTCGTAAGAAGAGCAGGATTAATTTTCCCTCGCACAGAGGCGTGCTTACAAAGAGGAGAACGTGCATCGATAGTAACCAATTTGAGTGCAATTTTTGTAATTTTATTTTCGTGATGTGGTGGGAGAAAAATTTGTTGATCGTGTTTTGTAATTTGTACAAATTGGGTAAGGACAAGATTAGACAATTTTGCTGTACAGAGAAAAAAAAATGTAAATGATTTTCTGTGTCTATGTCACTATTTTTTGTTTTCTTTGTCAGGGGGCGCAGAGTTCATGTGCCCTTTGTTATATCTTCTCATGAATGTTTAGAAGATTCTGTGTATTTTGAGAAAGATATTCCCCTGGTAGGGGAAATACCCAGTTGATGTTTCTGCAGTCGAAATGACAACTTGTCTGCTGTAGCAAGTTTATTCAGACAGTAGAAATATGATAAGATAGTGAATGAGTGGTGTTGAACGTGACTATGAAGTTTGTTTTAAAGGTTCATCACATGCAATTATGTTTGTAGTCGTCGTAATGCCCTGTCATGTGATAGTGTCATGTGATTGGTCATGTGATTTCTAGTTTTGTTTCTTGCTTGTCTCAGGGAATTTGAAACAAATGACATGTTGTTCTGTGTTTTCATTTTGCTGCTCCAAGGAACAATTTTTTTCCTTTAAGGTTTTGTAGTGTGTAGATTATGTATTGCTGGGCCAAAAAGGGCCCAGAATGTATAGAGACTTGGAAGTCCTTTAGTGTCGTACAGGCAAAGTTAGGTAGGTCATACTCATTCGTGATTGGGCTTGGAATCTGCAGCATTTTCTGTGTTAAAAGTCAACATGAAATAGCCCCAGCCATTTGTATTTCATCTTTCTCAACACCATCATCATCATCCTCATCCTCATCTTCATCTTCATCTTCTTCATTATCAACATCATCAATGTCATTACCATTATCATCATCATCATCATCATCACCATCACCATCATCATTATCATCATCATCATCTTCATCATCATCATCATCATCATCATCATCATCATCTTCATCATCATCATCATCTTCATCATCATCATCAGTATCACCATCATCATCTTCATCATCATCATCATCATCATCATCATCATCATCATCTTCATCATCATCTTCATCTTCATCTTCATCTTCATCCTCAATTCCTCTCAAACTATATGGTAGCCTAATAGCAGTCGTCATTTGACGTTTATAGAGAAGAGATGTTATTTTCACTTTTATTTTCTAGATAGAATGACGGGGCTGGGAAGATATTTGTACAAAATTAGAGAAAGAAAATGAATAGATTTTTATAGAACGAATATCGTCCAGCAGCCAGATACGTGTACTGATTTGAAGCAAATCAAGAAATGTTATATGTATACATTGTACAATACAATGCACATGTAAAAGGAGGAAATGTATTGAAAGTCTGTATTGTAAAAGGTAGAAAGAATGCAAGATACATCTTATAAGAAGGATCTGAAGAAAAACATTCATTGCTCGTAGTGACCGTCATTGTGTTGGAGTAGTTTTTGTTTGAGTGGATAGTAAGATGGAAACTGAACCACTGGCATTACTTGTTGGGTTTTTTTTGTTTGAGAGGCTCAAAGTCATTATCTCATATATCTTCCCACTCCAACTGAAAATACGTCTTTATGGTGTCGCTTTTTGTAGTTAGGTCATTAATGTCCAATTCATGTTAAAGAACAATGGTGCTGAAATATGTTGGGAGATGAATGCGAATCCCCCATTGTCGTCAAAGCTGTTCCCCTCTTTTTTTGTAATAACTTATTTAAGCCCCTGTTAAAGTGTTTTCATTCATGTCTGTTATGTTTTACTGTGACGGGATACCTGTTTGTCGGAAAGTTGGTGAAAAAATTATGTCTGGCTGGTCACCCAAAAATCGTTTGGAAATGTTATCAAAGATTGTTTCTGTGAAATGCTCGGCAACAGCCTGTCGATTAAACCGTGGTATCCAATCAATGACTAACAATGAAATATGTTAGTGTACAGTGATGGATAATGAGACGGCTTACACAATTTTCAACATGTGGGACAGTGTGGTGACCAGATATTCCTTGCAGACACTTACCCCTGTTGCTCTACTTTGTATGATTCACACGTGACCAAATCAAGCTAGTACAGAACATCATGTGAAACAATTTTTTCTTAAAGTGTTCTATAAAAGAATAATAGGAGACATTCTTTTTTTTCTTTTTTTCAAATTGAGACATTTCATATGAAAAAGGAGGTAGAAAAACTTCACAGATATCTTGGAACGTTCAGTTTGCACTTAAATCTACTTTTGTATTTTGTAAATAACTTGTAAAAAGTGTGTTTGTTTTTTCCTAACATTGAAACAGGTAGTGTTTTTGTGTTGATTTTAGAAGGGAGAGCAGATACTTTTTCTATGAAATTGACGTAGACATGTTTAACAGAATTTGGGATTCAAGAGAAAACTTCTAGAATTCTACTATTTTAGAGAGACATACTGGGATAAAATGCATTTCAGGTCTAGACGCAGACCTGGGCCTATTTTTCAGCTTCTTCGAGCTGTTGTGTTTCCTTTTGTAAAACTTCTGAGTGTAATAATGTCATTCCATGAAGCAGGAATTAATATTATTGAAAATTTAATTTAGAATTTTGTGTTTGGCATGTTTCAGGTAAACATGCCTCTGTTATTTTGAAGAGTATGTATTTGTTAGACACGAATGTGTTTTTTTTCTAGAGGTATACAGGCCATCAAGAAACACAAGAATATTCAGTTTTTTGTGTGATATGGCTAGAAATGATTGTACATTTGATGACTTTTATTATTCAATAATCCTATTTTTCTTTTAATTAGAGTATAATTCTGGGTTGTATAATTTCTTAGTTTTTTACTTAAAGGGATAGTCCAATGTTCTTAAGTTGTTTACATTATATAGATCTATGCATATTCAGAGGGAAATGGGCCTTTTTTAAAAGCAGGTATGAATTGAACGGTTTGTTATTTAATCCTTACAATACTTCTAACCAAAGTGGCAACACATCCATGCTGTACGAGGGATTTCTGTCATAACTATGTGGTGTACACGGAATATCAATCTTTTTTTATATTTTATAATTAAACAGAAACATTGTCTGTTTGTATTTCTGTGGCATCACCAGAAAAGCAGTGTATTATGAACTCTTATTGCTCTGCATGGAAAATGATGTTGAACCTCGTAATTATGAAGAATGGGTGTATAAGACTGTTTTGTATGTTAGTTTCATTCATTTAGACTGGGAATAGATACATAGCTGCAATGTTTACTATCATATCGGATTATTGATTAAACATTAACTAATGATTATATAACAGAAATTGGACTATCCCTTTAAGTATATCTCTTTCCTGCTTCTAGTGTGTGTTCCTTTTTCTACTCTTTTTTTCATTTTCTCCACTGATTATAAATCAATGCATTTTGGGGGTATTTATTGTATCAAAATATGAGTATTTATTGTGAGTTTTCAGTTTTTTCTGCAGAAGGAACTTTTGCAAGAGAAATGGATCTTGTTTTGGTTAAAACTCACAAGAAAAGAGAGTGATGATTTGTTTTCTTTCTCCATGAAATGCTTTTGTTTGATATTGTGGGTTGTAGAAAAGTTTGTATACATACCTAAATTACAAGCTGCCAGTTCTCGAATAAAAATATGAAGAGACATGCAACTGCAATGTATTTGTATTCTGTTTTTGTAAGGTTTTTGTGTGTGTGTGTGTGTGTGTGGACTTTGTGGAGGTTTGCAAGTATACATTTATTGGAAGAGAGAGGAGAGATGAGAGTGAGGGAAGGAAGAAGAGAGGAGGTGGAGGAGAGGGGATGTCTGAGAGGTAGTAGTAAAGAGAGAGAGGGAGGGGAGAAGAGAGAGAGAGAGAGAGAGAGAGAACCAATAGTGTTAAAAAGAGATGGGTAGGAGGGAAATTATATGTACACCTGTCATAAGACTACTTTAAGTAAAATACTTGTAACATGAAAAATACCGAAAATTATCCTCAGAAAAATTCCTACAAAGTAAGATTTACATGTGTATTATAGGAACAAAAACAAAAGAGATAGATAGACATATTTTGATTTTGATTTTTTTTTTTTTGGGGGGGGGGGGGGGTGGGTCAAATTTATCCATTTTTTGCCTTCAAAAAAATGTTTGTAAACTCAGATGTTGTGTGTCCGGACAGGGTGTGTACCCGAACAGTTGATTAAAAACTGTAGATTTGAAGAAGTTTTCGTCAATATTTTATAAATGGTGGCTCCATTTTTGTTAAGCATCCAGACACACCCCATTCCTCACACACCAGGCATTTTGAGTCATATTTTCATCCATTTATTGGTAATAGAGGGATTCATCATCAAGATATGGATACATTACTATTAGCAAGACAGTCACCTGAGATTCCCTGTAAAGCTAAGGGGCCCTACAAGCCCCAAAGTACCTGCTCCTGGAACATTAATGACTTTTAGATTCTGCACGACGAGAACGTGGACTGCCCTTTTAAGGCAATGTGACGTCACTGCCAGTGCCTTCAAAGAACGTCACATTGCCTTGAAAGGGCAGTCCACGTTCTCGTCGTGCAGAATCTAAAAGTCCCTATCATTCCCAGTTAAAACTTGATGCATCATACACATGCCTAGTATAGCAACATTATCTTTGATTAGTGCCTCGTTGCATAAGTATTTCATTCACCTGTTTTTTTTTTTTTTGGGGGGGGGGGGGAGGGCACATACATGTAATCGATCGAGGTCCAAAAAAGGGGTCTAAACAAGTTCAACCGATCTTTTTTTTTTTTTTTTTAATAGTTTTTTTATTGCTTCAAATCAAAGATATTTACAATCGTTGTTCATTATAACATTCGATCTGCATAACAAATACAATACAATACAATTCAAAGTTAACAAATGAACATGTAAACGAATAATTAGATATCAAATATCAAATCAAATTAAATTAGAGGTCTCCACTTTTGTTTGTGTGTATTCTGTTTTCCTTTTCTGAATGCAATTATATATTCTACTTGTTGAAGAAAATCTAGTTCTTTTGTAAAACGTAAAAACGAAAGATTTTTTTCTTCATACTTTGTTTTATTAATAAAATATTTTGCATAAAATACAATTGTATTTATAAGATGGTGAGTTTTTTTCGCCAAAACCAAAACAAATATCTAGGTATGAAAATTTTTGAGTGTATACATTTTTTCTTAATAACCAAGCATTTATATCAGACCAAAATTGCTGAATTTTAGAACATGTACAAAACAAATGCAATAAACTTTGTGGTTCTTTTTTACAGAAATTACAGACTGGAGAGTTGTGTATGCCGATTTTATACAAATAATCATTCGTCGCCAAACGACGGTGGATAAATTTAAATTGAAATACACGAATCTTTGTGTCTAGCGTTACCCAGTATACAATTTCAAATCTATTCTGCCATTGAATTAAGTCTCTCAAATTTACATTCAAATCATATGACCATTTTTCACATTGATTCGTATTCAATAAATTTAAACAAAATGTAGACACTAATTTTTCATAACAAGGTTTGGTTACTTTTTTAAATGTAATAAATTTCATATATCCATCTTCTTCTCGTCCTTGTTCTAAATCACCTATTTTCAATATTCTTTTCCATTCTTTTTTCATACAAAATAGCAATGCAAAATATTCTAAGTAGCATCCTTGATTCAACTGTAAAATTTCCTGTAACTCCAAAAAAGTTTTAAATGATCCATCTATTTTCATTATATCTTTTACAAACAAAATTCCTTTATCAAACCATTTTTTATACATAATTGTTTTTCCATCTATTTTGATATGAGAGTTATTCCATAGCGATTGATTCATAATATCTTTAAATTTCACGGGGTTGTAGTACCTATAGTGTGACCAAGCAAAAAGAATATCTTTCCAAAATCCATTTATGCCGCTACAGTTCAAGTCGCTTCCTACAAAATTACACAAGAATATATACACTCCACCTATTTGTTTAGTATTGGCATAAAACAACTTTTTCCAATGACCGTCATTTTGTTCGTCCAAAACTCTTTTTACCCATGCAATTTTTAGGGCTTTACAAAAACTCTCTATATGCGTCATTTTTAATCCACCATCGTTCAAATTATTATACATAATACTTCTCTTTATTCGGTCACCTTTATTGTTCCAAATAAATTTAAATAATCTTTTTTGAAGAGTGTCAAAGAACTTTTTGGGTGGGCTAGGAGTGTTACTAAATAAATATACAAACTTTGGAATCACAAGTGTTTTGATTACTGCAATTTTTCCAACTAATGACAAACTCCTATTACTCCAAACATTTAGCAAATTATCAGTTTCTTTAATTTTGTCTTCAAAATTTAAATCATATAGATCAAGTTCATCTGAGACAGGTATTTTTATACCTAAATAAATTAATGAATCAGAAACCCATTTAAATTTCTTATCTAAACATAAAGTACCCTGAAAATTACCTAAACGAACGATATTGCTCTTTTCTATGTTTATTTTCAAACCTGATATACTTGCAAATAGTGATAACATATTACAACATTTTTCTAAATTATCCTCGGTCGCTGATAAATAAATAACAGTATCATCTGCATATTGACTAAGTTTCACTTCCGAGTCGTTTACACGGATCCCTATAATATCATTTGATTGTCTAATCATCACCCCTAAAATTTCAGCACCAATTAAAAATAAATATGGTGAAAGAGGGCAACCTTGTCTTACACCCCTCTTTATATTGAATGACGGTGAGGAATATCCATTATTAAGTACACAACCTTCAATGTTATTATAAAGTGTTTTTATCCATTGAATACAATTTTCCTTAAAACCAAATTTCTTTAAGCATATGTACAAAAAAATTCCATTCTAAAGAGTCGAATGCTTTTTCGAAATCAATAGAAAAAGCAAGACCATCTACAAAATGTGATTTACAAAATTCTATCATGTCTAAAAACAAACGAATATTTTCTCCAATATATCTATTTTTCATAAAACCAGTTTGATCAGAACATATTAAGAGTGGAAGTACCCTTTTTATTCTATTTGCTATTATTTTAGCTAATAGTTTATAGTCTGTGTTTAATAAAGAAATTGGACGCCAATTTTTCAAATATAAATTATCTTTTCCTTGTTTAGGGAGTAAAGTAATTATTCCTCTTCTCATTGAGGGGCAAAGTTCACCATTTTCAAAACATTTATTAAATACCTGACATAAGTCATCTTTTAACTCTTGCCAGAACACTTTATAAAAATTAACAGAAAGCCCATCTGATCCGGGCGTTTTATCATTGGGCATAGACATTACTGCTTCAAAACATTCAGCTTCTGTAATAGGACCTTCACATAAAACTGCAGATTCTTCTTCTAAAACGGGTAAGTCATATTCATCCCAACAAAATTCATTGTTTTCCTTTTCCGTTCGTCTAGTTGAATACAGTCTTTCATAAAAATTCTTTTCTTCTAACAAAATATCTTTTGGCTCAATCACTAGTCTCCCATCGACAGATAATCTTGTTATATGTTTTTTATCAAAATTCCGTTTTTCTAAATTAAAAAAATATCGTGTATTCTTTTCCCCTTCAGCTATCCAAGTTGCTCTTGTACGAACCATTACACCTCTTATGTAAATTTCGTGTAAACTAATCAGTTCTGTTTCATAAACATCAATCAATTCTTTCAATTCATCATTTCGAGGATCCAAATTTAAACGTTGTTGTGTTTTTTCGATTCTTTTTCTTAATTCATCTATATTTCGATTATTTTCTTTTTTATTTAATTTAGACAAATAGGTTATTTTGAATTTAAAATATTCCCATTTCCTTTCCATTTCTGTTTCCTCAGTTTCATTTAAAAAAGAGACAATGGATAGTCTAATTTCCTCTTTTATCTTTTCATTCATCAATAGAGAAGAATTAAGTTTCCAAAAACCAGGTCCTCTTTTAGGAACTGATCGATTGATTTCAATAGTTATAGCTGAATGGTCACTGCGATAGCCAAACTTGATATCACATTCATTAACAAACTCCCGTAGACTACTAGAAATAAGAAAATAATCGATTCTACTCTGAGAGCCATTAGATTGCCAAGTATATTGAATCTTACATGGGTTTTCAACACGCCAGATATCAATCAAATCATAGTCCTCTTTTAAAATTTCAAGGCAGTCATAACATTTAGGGTGATATTGTTTTGAAGTTGGGTGTCTATCTAGAAAGGGGTTTTGCACCGTGTTCCAGTCTCCCCCAATAATTAGAGGCTCGGATCCATACGTTCCTAACATATCATGTAATTTATTAAATACATTACAATCGTCGCTATTGGGACCATATACATTAACAACAGTAAAATTTGTATTATCATGCATTACATTTAATAAAAGAATTCGCCCTTGATCATCTCTGTGGATTGAGGAAAATTTCAAATTACTATTTGATTTAAACAAAATACATACTCCTGCGCTGCACGATGTACCATGAGAAAAATAACATTTAAATCCCCATTCACTTGCCCATATTCTCTCCGATTCTTTAACACTATGTGTTTCTTGTAAAAGAAATAAATCAAATTGCATGTTCCTAAACCAATCAAAAATGCATCTTCTTTTTAATCTATCCCCTAGACCCCTTACATTGAGAGAACATATTTTAACATGAATTGTATAGTCAGCCATAATCTGTTGATGCATAAATAATTTTACAGTGGAATGAAATTGTTTTAAAGTTAATGAAGCAAATTGACATTATATAGTACACGAAGAATAAAAACAGCAAAACAAAACGAAATAAGAAATGTTGTGAATTGCTTTCAGGCCTAGACTTATAGGCAAACAAAAATAAACATACAAATCTAACTACCCATGACAAATAAATTAATATAACAAAAAAAGAGGAAAACGGCCGGGCGACCACTTTCCGTCTACCTGACATAGTTGTAAAGCTCAGGAGAGGAGCTATGGATATAAAAATATCATAGTTGTCGGCACATTAATATGACAAGTAATGGTTTTTGTGTGACTTAAAATATGAGGCTATATTTTCATGAAATCATTTCAGTAAATCATTTTCCCGTCACTGTTGTCAAGGTCGGTCAACCTCAGTGTTTTCAAGGGGCCGGGTTGATCCTTGGGGCCATCTTTATATTTGATTACACGGGGCACTGAGTTGGGTATGAACGCGAATTTGTTCTGCGAACGGAGCTCTTTTACTTTCGTCATAAGTCTATTATGGTCGATCCTTGTATCTTTGTGGACGTCATCACTGATACCTATTCGAGACCCACGGATCTTAACATCTTTAAGTTCAACCGATCTTAGAAATTGGGGGGGGGGCACGTGCCCCCCCCCCCCGTGGCTACGTGCCTGGTGATGTAAGGTAGGACAAGCCATCATGTCTGTAGCCAAAACACAAGGTGTACAGCAACAACAACAACAACAACAACCACAACACAAAATATTAAAAAACAATTTCGTGGGAAAAATGCGAAAATATTTGTATTTTATGTCTTTACTTTGTTTTGTTACAAAACTGAACTTACTGTTATCCGCTATGATGTAATCGGTCAATACAAATATTTGATAACTTCTGTTTTATCTTCATTCGAATGATTGATTTACAGGTGTACACTAATTGTTTGACACACGGTAGATTATGTATAGAGGGGCATACAGAGAGAGAGAGAGAGAGAGAGAGAGAGAGAGAGAGAGAGAGAGAGAGAATGCCTGAAAGAGAGAGCAACTCGCTTGCGTGTGCACCACCCCCTCCTCCGGTTACAAAATAATATATAAAGCAGTGAACTTTGGACAATCAGTGTTGATGAAACCGTCTGAAAACATTAATTCTCAGGTATACCCGGTAATAAATCATATTACACCAATGTCGATATATTTGTGTATACATGATTTGATAACGTGCTTCTGAATTTACAAAACAATCACCACACGCAGGCAGCAGGACGATTTTACTTGTTCAAATAACTTTAGGTTGCATTTTCGAATAAACACACAACCTTTGGTATTGTGTATATAATAAATATTGTAAAGATTACTGTGTCGTAGCATGTATTCATGAGAGCATGGATTTACTCTGACTTTTCATACCAATCATAACTGCAGTAGTTTCGTATGTCATTATTTTCAAGAGCGAAACAGAGAGGCTTAAATTGTCCTTTGTATGATATCAACAGCGGCCATATTGCTCATGGATCTGTAGAGATTGTCGGTAAAACAGGAATGGAGAAATATTGAACTTCTGTGTATTCATCCTGAAATGTTAATGGATTCCGAACATTGGTTCCGATTGTGAGCTTAGTATATAACGACCACGAAAGACTTGATATTTGAGGCAGATCATTGACCATTTGTGAAGTTATCGTATTCATTAAAATGGCGCTAAAACGAGATCCAGGTTACTTCAAGCTTCCGAACATGTTTGTCATGTTCCTCATCGCGTTTGGAATGACATTGACTGCGGTAAGCAAAGCAACAACAACATAAAACAAAAAAACTGGTATTATTTTGGTGACCCCATTTCGGCACGGTGATATTATTTTGCTTCGATCTGACTTGATTTATTGTTAGGGGCTAGGGTTAGGTTTGTCATGACTCTGTGTAAGGTTATCATGCATGGTTAAGGTTTAGGGCATATACTGTAAAACTCCATACATAACTATCTACAAACTTATCAGATAAATATTTACATTAAGTCCACCCCTCCCCCACCCCTCCCCCCACGCCCCCACTCAGTTATCTGCATTTCCAATGTTTGGGTGTTAGGACAATCTACGACATGACATAATATACCATCGTATCGTATCCAATATCCAATATTACCACCAAATTATGTCCTGAGACATTACTAGACCGGTATCCTAATATATTCAAATTGTATGCACACTTATTCTTGACAACCTGAAAGCTTGCCCGAGGCTTGTCCGACATAGCAACAAGTAGTGCATGCAGACTGGATTCCAAGTATGGTAGTTCATTCATAAATAACAGGTTAGTGGAAATATGGACTAACTCGTCGGCTGGGTCCCCAGGAAAGAAACATCCATAAATTTGAATATATGAGGAGAACAGTCTATTTGCAATGTATAATGATTATTGTTCTTAGTGTTTCCATTTTTTAACGACAAGATAACAGGTTAATGTGCAAATGTATTCCCAGTCAAGCGCCACGTCAACACAATCAGTATACTGGGTAGGCTTTAAAAAAAAAATCAGTGTATACAAGAAGACCGAATTGTGTTACCTTTAACCTCTAGCTATCTCTAAGTTGACTCGGGATAATAGTGAAAAGTATGGGACAATTAAGAAACTTTGCATTAGTTTTACTCGATCTCAATGGATGGCGGATTTATAAATATGTGTGGATTAAGTTCTGCATTTGTTTCTTTTTTTTCTTTTAAAGATGTGTGTCTATGCACCAGACAAGATACCTTATCACTACCTTGGTTTCCTTGGTGATCTAGCTAAGTATTTGGCTTATCAGAGACCCCGACTCATCGAAGCAATGTAAGTTCAGGGCCCCGTCTTATGAAAGAGTTGCAATTGCCTTATAAATGATTTGCAATAATTGATATCAATCGCATCTTATCTCTTTAGTATAGAGCTTCAATTGATCTTAATTATTGCAAATTGTTCGTTATCAATAATTCGTCGCTGTTTTCACGAAGTGACGGTAGTGAAAAAAAAATGCATTCACTTTGCGTTACGATTTTCCTCACTACCGTCACTTCGTGAAAACAAGGACGAATTGTCACTCTTGTATAAACGGGACCCCAGTATTGTTGTCGGGACGCAGACTTATAATGAAAATATCATGTATGATTAATGGATGACCACCTGTAACATAATACCTAAACACTTTACCTGCTCAGGTCTGCAATCCGTATGGCTTTTAATTAATTAATTAATTAATTGATAATTTTCGATCAAAATAATGACCCCCCCCCCCTCCTCCGCCTCAACCGCCTTCTCCTCTTCCTCCTCCTCCACCTTCTAGTTTAAAAAGAAAATCGTTTGGTATTATAACTGGCATCAATTCCCCTTCATTATATTGTTTAGATGAAGAACTTGACATTGTATATACGTATAGTGTTTATAATACAAGAGTTATGACTACTGATGATTGCTTTCCCCTTTTAATCTCATGCAACATTTCCCTTTCTGTTTCCTTTCGATAATATTATACCTTTTCTTTTATCTTCCTCTCCGTCAATTCATCGAATCTCCTCCTCCCCCTCTCTCTCCCTCTCCCCCTCTCTCTCTCTTTATCTCTCTCTCTCTCTCTCTCTCTCTCTCTCTTTCTTTCTCTCTCTCTCCTTCTCTCTCTTTCTAGATGGTACATGGCAGTATCAATTCATGTTTCCGAAGCCATTTATGCATTCTATCTCGCTGGGTGAGTTAAAGTCTTCCATACTACTCATGACTGTATTGAAGCTATGTTTTGTACCCTTTTTTAACACGATTGGAAGCTATAACTACTAACACACTAAGGTTTTCACATCGCAAATTCCAATGATGTCAAGTTCATTTTTAGTAAGATTTATGACATTCCTGTGAAAATTGTTCTTAAAATAGGCTATTAAATGATTTTTATATTTAATCAGATTTTCACTTTTGGAAAATCAAGGGCACAAAATCGGTCCGTATTAATATTTCAGAGCAGCTTTTTTTAACCGAGAGTTCGTTTCACTTCACCTTACTTCACTTCACTTCAATTCAATTCAATTGAATTGAATCCAATTGAATTGAATTGAATTCAATTCAATTCAATTTACTTTATTTAGATTCCATCTTTGTATATTACATTTTGTAAAAATACATCAATGAAAAACAATGAAATATTTAATGAATCAGTGACACGATCATCAATAAAACTGGAAAGCAAACGGTTGACAGAACTTACTGACAAAACTAATTGCTTTCTGTAATAATTTTCTTTGTCAATATTACATACACTTTATATATTTGTTTCTATTTAATGCTGAGCCATTCATGTTGTTCATTGAACCATTTTCAGGCAAAAGGGGATCACGGGTCAAGCTCGGATTCTGTGGTTCATTTTTACACTCGGTTTCGGTATCGGGTCCCTCATCAACCTCCTTAAGTACGACCTCGACTCCTCCGCCGACCCCGTGGGCGAGCTCCTCTTCGAATTCGGCTACGATAAGGAAGATGATGACCTTACGTCGCTGTCCAAGGACGTAAGCGCCATCGAAGTGAACAAAAGAGACGCTGAGCAACATGCCTGAGAGAGAGAGAGAGAGAGAGAGAGAGAGAGAGAGAGAGAGGGGGGGGGGGGGTGACCGGGGCTGCATTTGGAGGGGATGCACACAATAATTAAAACAAAAAAACTCTGAAAGGTCTGAATTTAAAAGGTATTATACGAGGCGAAAACGGAGTAGTATAGTATGAGATTCTAGAGACGTACAAGGAGAGTGAATTTGAGAAGAAAAGAAAAATAGAATAAAGAGTAAAGAAAATAATATAATAATGATAATTAGGAGAAGGTGAATAAGGGAAGAAAGAAGAAGAAGAGGAAGACGAAAAAGAAGTGGAAGAAGAAGAGGCAGAAGAAAAAGAAGAGAAAGCAAATTGATGACAAGTCATCAATGGCATTGTAAAATAACATGTACAGAAATATTTTGGGCCACATTGTTTTAAAATCATTTCAAAATTACAGTAAGTTCATTGGCTGCAAGTATCTCTTTCAAAAAGTGTTTGAACTAACTATAACAATCCCATTTTCATTCAAATTGTATTTAAAATGTCTTGATTTGTAACTGTCCCTTATTACCTTCACATGTAGGTAATGAGAGACCTTTCGTAATGACGTCATTAATAATTGTTATCTTATTAATCAGTTACATCATGACCACAATTTTGTTACCAAATAAAGAAAAGAAGTTACTGAAGAGAATACAAAACTTTCTGTATGTGTAACATTTTTCATGTTTCTGTAAATTATGCAAATGTGCTTAAGGGTCTCTAATTCCCTAAACCTACCCTACCTATTATTACTGACTAAAAATACTACTTGTTTTTAAAGAAAGTAGTGTTTTAATACAACAAAACTTCAAAAACCTGTGAGGGGGTAGCATTGAGCTATATAATAATACTTATTATATATCTCTATCGGGGTCACCTGGCGTCCTGATGGGGGGGGGGGGGGGTGGGGCTTGGGGGCAGTTGCCCCCTAAATAAAATTCAAACGCGGTTTATGTCTAATTTGATACCAGTGATGTACAAATGTTGCTGAAATGGCATGATTTTTCCCTGAGCTCCCGGGGGCTCTGCCCCTGGACCCCGTCAAGGGTCCTAAGGCGGCCTGGTTGCTCATCTGACCGTAATTAAATGCCTAAAACCCCGGAGCTTCTCCGAACTATGGACCTCATTCCAATTAGTGACCTGACTGTGTCACAAATAAGGCATCAAATTAGCTCATCTGACCGTAATTAAATGCTTGCCCATGGACCCCAAGCCAATTTACGCTCTACTTGCTTCGCTCGCTCTCCTCTACCTGATCGAAAATACTTAAGCCCCCCCCCCCAACCCCATCCCCCTATTTGAAAAACGTTCCCCGGGGCCTGTATGTAACATGTAAGAGTGGTGGTGATGCGGATTGTTTTTCTGCCCCCCCCCCCCCCCCAAAAAAAAAAAAAAAAATAAATAAATAAATAAATAAAAAATAAAAAAATAAAAAAATTGCCATTTACGCCACTGGCCCCTCTCGTTCACTATGCTTCCTCGTCCCTTGCATTTCGCCCCCCCCTCCCGGTCATGAAAAGAAATAGCCGCCCCTGCTGTCAAGGAATGGTACAACATTCAATTTTCAACAGAGACAAACGTATTTCAAGCATATGAAAAGAATGAATTAAATGCAACCAAAATTCATGGCCCTAGCAGTCTGGAAAAGTATTAGAACATCAAAACCATTTAAACCATTTAAAGTATGCCATACATAAGTTATCGTAAAACAAGAATTTCAGGGAATATGAACTTGTATGGAAACTTTAAAAATTTACAATGCTAATACACTCATTTCGAGAAATGAAACTCTCATGAATTTGGACAACTCAATGAATTTGTAAAAGTTTTTTTTTTTTTTACAATATCTTCTGTGTAAAATTAAGATTACATTCACCTTATCTGTCTGTGTATCTGCTCTTATGATTATTTTAACACAAGTATGGGCCTCCTGAAGAAAAGAAAAAAAAATTCTAAACGATACTTTCCTGATTTCTGAAAACAATCGGCTATAAACTGATAAACATATTGATACTAGCTTAAATCAAACAAGTTGATTTTGTTTTACTCCGAATGTGTTTTAGTTTCCGACTCGACTTCTTGCTTTTCCCATTTCTGGAAGTACGCCATCTTGAGTCGACTATGTACATCTCATTTTGCAAACTCTGGCTGTCACCGAGAAGAAGAAAAAAAAGGTAGACAAATAAAGAAAGCATAAGTAAATCAAAATAACGCAGTGGCATTGGTTCGAGGGGGATAAGGAGTATACAAGGGAACAGTTGCCCACAATGGCGAATCCAGAAGTTGTATTTTATATTGGGGGGGGGGGGGGGGGGTGCTCGTGTGCACCCGATGACAATGAATCTTATTTCTTGAACCGTATGGGGGCATGGAAGAAATAAAGACATCTGATATAATGGAAAGATGATTGAAATATTACTACAGTCTAAAGACAATCAAATCTTTACAGAAAAAGAGCAAAAGTAGAAGGGGAGAAAAAAAAATCAGATATGCCTTGCCCCAAAAATAAAAAAAGAGCACAGTTCTCAAGGGACATGATCTCATCTGAATAGCACATTGTTTTAAATATACGATTTGCCAAGAAAAACAATCCACCAAAACATCAACCAAAACAAACAAAAAACAACCGTCGAGTGATATTTCTGCTTTTGTATGTTTGTTTATAAATTATAGAGCTGGGCCGCCAGCGACTTTTCATTTAATTGAAGAGAAATGCCCATTTCATGGGAATAGTTGACTCTTCCTTACAGTGGCGTATCCATAAATGATAAACGATGAATCCAGCGTATCCCACAACCCCCCCCCCCTCTCCACGACCAAGAGATTCAAACTTTAAAAAATAAAGATACCAATAAATGCAATGTAGTCCACGGCACAGCAGCTTAGTGGCGAGGGCCTGTATTGGTAAAAGAGGACATAATTATGAAGAGTTTCATTCCAAAATGAGCTAAATCCACTTTGGGTGATTCTGAGTAAATCGCCTTTTTTATTTTTCCAGTTTCCCTTAAGCCATGTACCTTAATGTTGTAATATAATATGTTAAAGGTGTCACCCTTGACCAATAATACCAACAAACAAACACATTTCTGGGGGTAGTCACCTTTTCATTTTCGGTGGAGACTATTCACAGACAGGCGCATACGCAGGAGGGCGGGGGGGGGGGGTGTTGAAGGTTACCCACCCTCTTTTTAAGAGCCACCCCTAAATATCTGCATACACCACAACATTCAGTGAAAATAGTGTTTTTATATCAGAGAAAAAATTTACGATCAAAATTGCTTCGCTTGGTCAATTTTGCCAATTTTCTCGGAGAAAGAACGCATTGTAGTCTTCGAAATGAATTGGATATAATTATGCAGTAGCGTTGTTAAATGCCACATATGGCGTTATAGCAATATTGGAGCCAACACGGACAGACAGTGATGGGTTCAAGCTTGGGGGTCTTCAATTCCCTACACCAACCCTACATGTATATGCCAAATTTTGGTTTTATGGGGGGGGGGGGATACGTGCCCTGTGCCCCCTATACCTAGTTTAGCCACTGGGCTAAGCTTTTAGTTGTATGAATTTGCTTTTACCGTGAGTATAATATAGCGTCATACAATTCTGACTTTTTACTTTCACATTTTCCCTTTATCCGCACGTTCTTTCATCATTTTTTCTCATTCTGAATATGTTTAACCTTCTCTTTCCCTCACTTTCTCTGTTCCATTCAATTCCCGCAATTTTACTCATTTCTTTAAAATTATCATCTTTCACTCAAAGTCGGATTGTTTGCTAAAAGCCTTTTTCATTGTATATTTCTGAGACGAAATCGCAACTGGGCATGTACGGGGCTGCAAAAAAATATTTACCGGTAGTAACATTCAATGCATAGAAAATTTACCAGAATGTGAAAAAGCTTTCCGACATAGAAATTTTCCACACTGAAGGGACCAAGCAATTTTACCGAGCTTGACCTATAGATCTTTATTTTTTTTAAAGGAATTATATTCACTTCAAAATATTAACTTCACTAAATAACCCTCCTTCTCTCTTTACCTCTCTTTCTCTATTTCTCAATCTATCATTTCGATTGTAGTCCACACATAATTCATTTTCTTTAAATCTAGATACAGTTTCATATTATATTGCGATCGATGGTGTATCACTATACACATTTATTCAATGTGAAAAAATTAAAGTAGATATTCCTTGATTTTAAAAACTAACTTTATTTTCATTATTGCAAGGTTGAAACTTTGATTCGACAAGGTTATAAAAATTCAATGCTTGCAAACATTCGAAGTAATGAATATTATAAATTATAAAACGCTTAAATACAGCACCGGCATAGCACCTAAAGAGCTCTCCGAACGCTGCGGAGATGTGTGAGATCACAGGATGGACATGATTTGCACAATCAGACGATGTCCCATGACATCTCACACATTTCCACTGCCTGTTGTTTCATCTTCTCTTGAGTTCTTTCTCTTACTTTACTACCGTCAGGCTAAATGTATAATCTATTGCCTCACTCTAAACCCCGCGCATGGTTTTATTTTGATGACAAATGTAGCGATACAAAAATAAAGGAAACTGTAGCTTGAAAACAAAATAAGACGCCATTGTATATTCAGCTGCACACACCGCGGTATGTTCGGCGTTTCAAGAGGGAATAAATGCCGTCCTTAATTTTATCATTCCGGGGGGTTTTCAATTTGAAAGTCTGTTGTTTTTTTTTTATTGTTAATGAACCCTATCCTGTGTATTTACAAACAAAAGATTTTTGTTTTCAGAATCAGTTTCATATCCCCTTTTGAATGGTTTGAAACGCCATCACATTTATAAACACTAAACTCATTACAATTTGAAAAATAATAGCTTTGCAATTATGTTCATTCTTTATGGAATGTCGTCTGCTTGGGCAGTATTGGTCCATTATGTGACGACAAACATCGTTATTTTCTGGCGAATCTCTCGTAAATCCCAGCTGCTATGGAGGTGGTTGTATTTTTATTTTTTATAAATCACCCGATATGTAGTTGACCTAACACTTGTACAATGGCTATCTGTTAGCTTACCAGTTTCTAGTGATAAATTAGTTGACATATTTGTAATTTTCTTATAATTTCCACTTTAAGAATAGTGAGAAAATGTTATATCGAGATCGTCGATCAGAATGGTGAAAGTCCTACACAACTGAAAACCCCAACTCAAGTTCAGTAGGGTCAGTCGT